GAAGTTTCAAATTGAAAAAGACACTGCAAGAACTATATAGGTTCGCTGACAACCTAGAAAAGCTGATCGATGGCTCACACTACGATATAAACAATTACCAAAGGCATTTCATCTCATTATCTATTGCTTTTAATGCGCTCGGCACACGAGTAGCGTGACGTTTGAAACAAGCCTAACACATCAGAAACGTGCCTTGTGAAACTGACACAATTTATCTATTTATTGTGATGCTACACGCATGCTAAATTTTAATTGTTTCACCAACAACCAAATTTTGCATATTCTAAATTTTCATTTGCATTTGCATTTGCAGCTGTCACTAAAAGCATCCCCACGAGGCTACTGCTATGCTAAACTTATCTAAAACTATAATTGAAATAGCTGTATACGATATGTTACGAATAATAAGCACTACGTCGTTAGATGATTGAAAGGAAGCATTTATCTTCATCCGTTCCGTATTTTATCCGTATATCCGTTCCGTGGATCCGCTCCATCCGCTTCCGCATTTTAACCTAATTGTGACATGTTTCACAATAACAAGTCTCATTGACCTTTGACTTTTCGAAGGTTACGTTGTGTCTATTTTCAGCTTTTCGCATGTGTTGAATAACGTCACTTTAGATTTCGATAGTTTCACAGTTATAGCTGCAGTGTTTAAAGCAGTTTTGACAAGCTTTGATACAGTTCTGTGTACAGAATACTACAGATTGATTCTCGTAAGATCTGGTAGAGTTATCGTTGCACTGAACACGAGTTTGCACCGTTGACAACGGCGTTGTGCTAGACGGTAAACAAGGTCCGTAACAGTACACGTTGGCTACATGTACCTCCTTGCTTTTTTCTTCCATTGCATAAATCTTGTTGGCGAGCCAAGCGATTGGCGATAACACGTTGGCGATAACACATTGGCTATCTCCTCGTCTTATTTAAATTAGGAGCTCTGACTCGACTGATTTCTTTCGTCTCGCAATATTTTCTTCGTAAACGCCTGTACAAACACCCGCTTCTGTTTAATAGTTGTTTACGCTTTATTGATCTGATGCAGATCTGATACAATTTTTCGCTCTTTGTACTGAGTTCTGTGGTGTAGCACCTTATACAGTCAATGACAATGTATAATGAATACACGGTCTAAATAATATCGATGGGCACTTAATTGAATGCTGGTAATCATAACATCAATTTATTGCTGCCGAAGGCAGCCTCCTATTCTTGACGATGTGTTATAGCGCATTTGAATTTCCCGCCAAATGAAGTATCGCGTTTACTTGTGTCCAGTCTCTTTGCCCGAGCTATGTATTGTCGAGATCTCGATTTTGTGTCTGTCTGTCTGTAAAGATGTCGTAATTCCGGGGAAATAATTAAGGCTTCAGGAAGTTTTTTTAAACGAGGGGGGCGGTCAAAATTTATTTTGGGATCAAGTTCTTCTCAAGGACAGTTACGAGCTTATTTACATTTTCATGATGGACAATATTTTCAATAATTCAGGTAAGGATAGCTTTATTTCTTTTTGGTAATATACATGAAGGCATTTACAGTATATTTAGAACACTGTGATATTTCATGAATTTAGATTCAGCATGAATTTCAGAATTTACCCTGCGGCTGCACTGTCACTGATCTTATACGTAACTTTATAGTTAAATATACAAGTTGAAGTAGTCAAAATCTGTTTTTAGTTTATTTGTTTGTGTGGTTATTTCCAAAGGCGATGAGTTTATAGTGTTTATTCTACATGTTTATAGCAATGTGCTTTCAGCACGTTTTAAAAACAAACGTGGAATGTTGTGTAGCAGGGCTTATAATCAGGCTTAATATTTAATATAAAGATATCCCTATAGCAATCCAGTGTGGTATAAAAGGAGGGGTGGCCAAACATTTTCTAGTGGGATGCAAGCAGCACCACCAAGCTTCGGCAGGAGTTAGGATTAAAGACTTTCACCCAAAGTAGGAGGGCTGACGTGAAATTTTGGTGGGGTTGAACACTTTATAACACCTCAGGGTGTTATACTCGGTACTAACCCCCCAGGCCCAGTAAATCTGCCCATGGTTGTCTGCACATATTAACTTACCAGCAGTTATGTAATAGCATGTCAACCGACTTTTGTACAAGGTATGACGGTTTGTAAAAATATATCTCTGAGATACCGGCGTATGTCCATTGTTAGCATATTAAATAAAGAATAATCCTACCGGCCTACATAATACATTCATATATTCACCTGGCTGTGTCACTACATAATTTCAGGGTATACTATACTTTCTCGATAATGCTCACAATTTCTTTCTTATTAATATACAGTTTTGAAGTTATGACTGAGTGCAATCTTAATTAATCATTGGCATTACAAATGAATGGTGCCATCTGAATCTGATGTATTAAATTAAACAAAAATGACAGTTGTCCTGTGATAGGGGTAGTTTTGTATTATAGTATTTCTATACATGAAATTGTTATTAAATTTTACATGTCTAATGATTCATTCAAGTATTATTATTGTTGTTGTACATTTATTATATAAAGTATAGTGCTTTATAGAGATTTCGAGCACTGATAAAACTGAGGAAATAGGAAGTTAACCCCCTTTCGGATGTCCTAATACATTTACTATTATCAGAAACAATTTTTTCTCCCCTCCCCCTCCGGACGGCAGAAATTTCCTCCATGGGGGGAGTATGGATCTTTTCTGGAACGACCCAATCTCACATGTGAAAATTATCGCTTTTCAATAATCGCTTTTCTGCAAAAATATCGCTTTTCAAAGACTGTCCTTTATATAATAAACAGAAAAATAAACATAAATACTTGGAAATACCAGATTTATTTCTCGAAATAAATCTGGTATTTCCGCACACCCATGTATTATTCTCTATATAAATATATAATATTGTACAGTATTGGCAAGCTAGTCATGGCAACTCGTCATGCTATGCCCTCTGTGCTATGCCTATGCTGATAATCTTGCATCTATTTGAATGATACAAATCATTAAAAACTTGCATAGCATGACTCGTTGCTATGGCTAGCTTCACCAATGACAGCATTATAAGTATACATAACAAAAGCAAGAAGTTATAAGCATTGAAGGTATTCATATAAAACCACAGGTGGCCAGGCTCTGTGTGGGTATTTATTTATTTTTTAATTTTATTATATTTTGCATTACAAATTTACTATTTTTTAAATTATAAAGTATAACTTACTTAGTTTCCTTTATGTATTCTTTATGTATTTGGGGGTGGTTTTAGTTTTATATAATGATATAAAAACATCATGAGAGTAATGGCAAAGCGGGATCATATAAACAGCCCCTTAAGCCCAGGTCACACTACACAACGATAACGATACGATAACTTGTATACGCGCGCTGATTGGTCAAAAATTTATCGTTATCGTTCGACTGAAAAAAAAATCGCTCAGGTGAGCGATTTTAAAATCGTTATCGTTATCGTCAAACGATAATTTTATCATTTTCGTTGTAGTGTTGACACTAACACAAATTTTTTGCCAATTATCGCGTGTTTACAATTTATCGTATCGTTATCGTTGTGTAGTGTGACCGGGCCTTTATTCAGCCAATTGTGCATGCTGCCTTTGATTCCTTGAATGAATGAATGAATGAACATAATTTTTAATGAGGATACCAACTTCACAAGTAGTGGTTTACAGAGGGGTCCTCGGACAAGTAAACATATACTAAAAATAATTAAATTACAAATGAAAATAACTAGACAGAACAAACAAGTCATTACAATTCAGTTTTTTCGAGGCGGTTATTAAATGAGGTTATCGAGGTGGCGCTTTTTAAATCATCATCCAAACTATTCCAGACTTCAGAAACAAAGTTTACCGTTGTCCAGTGGCCCCACCTCCTCGAAGCCTTGGTTTTCCTGATGTTATTCTTAGATCTAGTATTATATCTATGGAAATCACAATTAAGTTGAAAACTAAATTGGTGCGATAACATATTATTGATGGCCTTATATGCAAATATGGCTCGATGCTCGGCTCTTCTACGTTTTAAGGATTTCCATTTAAGCTTACTGAGAGCATCGGTTGCACAGAAATATATAGGTTGATCTAAGACTATCTTAGCAGCTTTATTATGTAGAATTTGTAAGTCATTCATCAATGTTTCATTTCCCCTGTCCCCCCAGCAAATGTCCCCATAGTCTATAAGTGGCAATATAAAACTTTTAACAAACGTTATTCTAGCATCTAATGGTAAACAAGACTTGATACGTTTTAATAAACCAAATTTCTTGTTTATCTTGGAACTAATATAGTCCACATGATCTCCCCATGTACAATACCGGTTTACAAGAATGCCAAGGTATAGAAAAGATTGAACATTAGCAAGTGTCGAGTCATTGATTGATATGGTAATTGAATCAATTTTAGAAAGTCGTCGACTGTCCCAATCAGCATAAACTTAGACTTCTCGACATTCAAAGTAAGTTGATTATCCAGAAGCCAATTATGGATGCAATTTAAATCAGAATTCATTTTCCTTTGAATTTCATCAGTCGAAGATGATGCCCCTTGGGGGTGAGGCAGCACTTTCCTTGCGATAGTAACTTCTAGTATATTATATTATTGCGTAGAATCTCAAAGATCTTCTCAATATTCATGTCTGAAATGTTTATATACTTGAAAACAACACAGTCTCGCTTCTTCGCACGTACTGTATACCTCCGTATAATGAGTATACCGTGAAAATAATATCAGCACTCAATTGAATGCCTAGATTCTCAAAGATTTTCGACTCAATATTTAATACGTCTGAAATGTTTATACACTTGAGAGTTTTATAACTGTACTGTCTAGGCGTTCTAGCTCCTTCCTAGCTCTGTATAATGAATATACCGTCTAAATATTATCGGCACTTAATTGAACGCCCGTAATGCTAAGATCAATTTATATATTGCGTAGATTTTCAAAAATTTACTCAATATTCACGTCTGAAATGTTTATACATCTGAAAACAACACTGTCACTCCTTCCTATCATATCGTCACGCCATCGTGATCTACGGCTTGATAGCGCATGCGCATTTGCGCTACTAAAGAAAAATCGGGTGTTCCGGGGTAAAGATCCTTTACACAACATGAGAAGTGAATGTTCTAAAATTTACAAAAAATTACAATAACGAAAGCGATTCCTCGAATTCTTTTGTGAACTTGGCAAAAGGATAACAGAATATGTAAATAAGTTAACTGAAATTGCTTAAATAACCTTCAAAGTACTGACAAAGCACAATAAATCACTACGAACATAAATCGTATACACCCCCCGGAAAGTTTACTGTATGACTGAATGAATGACTGACTGAATGAATGACTGACTGACTGATTCGTGTGAATTTCCCCCCAGTCATCACAATACTGTGAAGTTTCGAAGAAACTTCACACTAAAAATGACTGTCTGGCACCACACATCCTTCTTAGGATGGTCTGTTAAAGTGCCTATGTCATAGTTTGGGAATCAGCCTATTTAGATAGTTTAGATGATTTTAAGAACTTCATGGACTTTCGGGGGCTCAAAGTTGGCGATTTTGCCTATTTTGAGCGTTTGGCCGCCAGCATAAAAGTACTGGGGCGACAATGCCGGCGTGACGTCAAACCGGGAAGTCATCAAAACAAAATACATAGATTTACTATAGTTTCTTGACAAAATCGAGTATAAATTAGATCTTTCTGGAAATTTCTTCGATATTTCGATTGAAATTTAAATGGAACTATATCCTTAACCTACGGTTATCCAACTGACAGGCAGATTGGGCGAGATACTAACTTTATGGCTGAGAGTGCAGGTCAAATACATATACGCTGATGCTATATATTCTATCTCGGTTTCTTGATTTATATACAGAAATAGAGACAAAACGGCAAGGAACTGTAGGCTGCTGTTAAACCTAATCCAGTGGAATATATTCGCCTTGCCCTCGGTTTTGTCAATGCCAGCCAGAATAGCGGAAATTATTGTGAACAAAACGCCTCGTCCACTGATCAATACAGAGTCAGAGGCGTTGGTTTGCTAACTTTGCTTGAATTTGGACGTCAAAATGTGTCGTATAAAATTGGCGAGAAGGTGATTAAATACGGTTTTTATGTGATTTTAATAAAACTAAAAGAGAAACTCCCAAGGCAAACTGAACTTGTTCTATTGTTACTGATAGGTATGCAAGAGAAAATTGATCTTTGAAAAAAGTGGCGATTCTACTTTTGCCTGCAAAATGCATAAACAAAGAAAGAATAAAATGTATTTATGGTCCTGGGCAACATTGTTTTAAATTTAGATTTTTATTCTTGAATCATACTGTAAAAATCACTTCCTTAAATAGAACAAACTTGTCTTGTCATTTTGAAAATTTTGTTCAGTTCTTTATAGCAGATGTCCGATGAAACCATTTCATTGCCAAGTGAAAACAAAGCAAGGCCAAAGCAATGCCAATGGGTCAATCCAGATAATTTCCAGGGATTATACTTACATTGATCTGTCGTAATTTGCCAAAATGATCCATGGCTCATGAATCAATAATGTCACACCCATAACCATACATAATATCATTTTATAATTTATAAATATAATAAAATTCCTTGTTTTATTTGCATGTTTCTGCAAGCTGGCAAGTTCGGCACCTCAAGTAAATTGAATATTAAATACAAAGAACAAGTGTTTCAAAATGTTTTCACATTTAATGAAAAATTTACTATAACTTTATAAAGAATAGATGTTTATGATTTAGAGATCAAATCCATTAGGTCTTTAGGATAAAGAGTATGGTAAAGACATGTCATAGCCTAGAAATGCATGGGCGAATCATGAAATACAATAGGCCCCTTCGCTTGCTTTGTTTACATTAGGCATTTTGCTAGCAGACAAGGTCAAATGTCGAAAAAATACAATACTCAAAGGAATATTATAATTTTCAAAATATTATAGTTTACTTTTACTAAGAAAGTGATTTTTATTATTCATGAATCAGAAATATAAAGATGTGTCATATTTAAAAAAATGTAGCCTTAGTAGTTGTATGATTTCATGAACACATTTAGAACACAATAATAATAGATCTTACATTTAGGCGATTTTGCAAGACTAGCTTAATTCACGAATTTATTCAAATATCAACTTTTACAGTAATTCATGAATACATGTCAATATAATAAAACAAGTTCACTTTGCCTTCAGAGTTTCTCTTTTTAAATCATATAAAATTCGTATTACCTACTTTTTCACAAAATTATTTACGGCACATCCTGACGCGGCTATGACGCCCAAATTCAAAGCAAACCGGCGCTTCAGCCGCCTCTATTGATCCTGGACGAGGTGTTTTGCCCACAATAATTTCCAATCTGACCTGTATTGACAAAGAGAATAGATTCTTCTGCATTGGGTTTAACAACAGCCTACAGTTCCTTGCCGTTTTGTCCCGATATTTCTGTATATAAAATCAAGATAGATTAGCATCAGCGCATACGTGTTTGACCTGCACACTCAACCATAAAATTATTATCTCGCCCAATCTGCCTGTCAGTTGGATAACCGAAGGTTAAGGATATAGTTCCATTTAAATTCCAATCGAAATATCGAAGAAATTTCCAGAAACATCTCATTTATACTCCATTTTATCATGATTTTATCAAGAAACTATAGCAAATCATATGTATTTTGTTTTGATCAGTTCCCGGTTTGACGTCACATCCGGCGTTTATAGGCATCTCGCCCTAGTCCTTTTACACTCACGGTTAAGCAAAAAATCGCCAACTTTGAGCCCCTGAAAGTCCATGAAGATCAAATTTTCGAATTATAAAATATATTGCAAAAGTTCTTAAAATCATGTAAACTATCTAAATAGGCTAATTCCCAAACTATGACATAGGCACTTTAATAAATTTAAAAAGCAATGAATAGGACAATACCTGCGTCCAGCTGTATGACGAACAAGATGACAATCCCAACTGCTGACCAGGCTTTGCTCCTTTTGTGTCGAGACACAAGTTTGTAATTGGATTTCGAATCTAGAAAGACGTCAATAATACAATTCATGAAACATCAAATATTCATTAGCAGTACACGAAGAAATCAGCACCCTATCAGAGTATAAATTGCCAATCAAGAAGAGCAGACTGGAAACGCCGATGGAAAAAGCTATTGCCATTAGCATATGTGATATACGCTATAACCCCACAAAAAAACTAACCCTATGCCTTACGAGAAACAATATTTTACGGTCTCTAAATGCATAAGAAACGTACAAGTAGTAGCGGTTCACTTTTTTGTTTGTCATGAAAGCATGTTCAATTTTGTTGATGGATGCACCAACATTTGTTATACGATGACGTTATGCACACCAAGTGAGTGTGGTGTCATCATCCACGCCCACCACCTCCCAATGCGATACCTTGCAGTACACCCAGAATCCGGCTTGATCGGCCCTTATGTTACTACTTTTCCACCACTAAAAAGACTAATGATTTATTCTAGCACTGCAGAACAGGGTTAAGAAGACTGGGTGCCGGAAATAAATAACCAACCAATCAGAATCGCATTACTGCCCAGAGACTCGCTAGCCTCAGGATGGCATGATTGGGGTACCAGATTGGTAAACATTCTCCCTTCGAAATTGTTAGAAGTTAAATTCATCCCATCCTGATTTTTATATCAGTTAGTGCCAATTTTTTTCTTTAGGCCATTTGGTAGCAGTAAAATCGAATATTGGAAAAGTATACAACTTACCAATCCAGAGCCACGAAGAGGTTCATAGTTTTGTCGAACCGTATCATTTAACACATTCTGCATGTACCACTTGAAACTACGGCATTTCAATCTTTTTCGAATAGCAATTCGATCACTGATGTCACCATAATCCTTAACTTCTTTCAACTCGGGTCTTCGCTCATATAACCACTCCTTGTAATCATCCATCCATACTTCAGCAACTCGTCGAAAGTTAATCACAACGGCATTTGGTTTTGGGTACGAGTAAGGTACGTTCTTCCTGTAAACATGTCCTACTCTAGAACAAGGAATGTTTGCCATTTTCCCACCACACATCCAAATCTTAAACATAAGGTTTGCATTAAAATAGTATTTGAATTACATAAATTATCTACTAAGCAACCGCTGATTGGTGTAAATCTTCATACTTTTCATTAAAAAGCAAAATATAAACAAGCAAAATAAGTTAAGCGCCACTTCCCTCTGAACTAGCGAATATTAAAGATTAATTCAAGATTATACAATTACTTTATGGTTTCCGTGTTTGGATGGCCTGATCCAAACACGCGGGAATGTTGCGAGAGTTAAGAAAAGCGCGCGAAACATTGCGCGCTTTTCTTAAAGGCACAGTACAGCCTTTTGAATGATGGTTTTTAAGGTGCATTTCAACCTTTTTAATTGAAAAAGTAACTAGGTAAATCAATTAAGCATGATTCAAAATCAGCAAACTCAATGTTTTTACCAATAAAAATGTTTTAAAATGTTAAAAACATTAAGGTTGCTGATCTTGAATTATGCTTAATTGATTTTCCTAGTTAGTTTTCTCAATTAAAAGGGCTGAAATACGCCTTAAAAACCATCGTTCAAAAGACTGAACTGTGCCTTTAACTCGAGCAACATTCCCAAGTGTTTGGATCAGGCCATCCAAACACGGAAACCATATAGTAAATGTTTTATAAAATAACAACTTTCCGTGTGAAAATTTCGCTTTAAAAAACTTTCACTTTAAATTTCCATGTTTGGATGGCCTGATCCAAACACGGGTTTCGACCAATCAGAGCACGCGTTATATACATGTTATTTTATAAAGTATTTTCGTGGCATTTAGACTTGAGTGTTGTATTTTCTGCGCTCTGTTTGCTTAGCAAAGTATTAATAATGGACACAAATCAAGACATTCGACACGTAGTTGGGTTAATCTTGCTGGGGGTAACGATTCCCCCAGCCGCTTTATTAATATTTAACTTTCAAAGATTAGGATTCATATAATATATCGAATTAAAATGTTCTTAAACAGTTCTGCCCAGGAAAGGTGAGGGCAAAATTACGCCATTACTTTCTTTCTACAAAATTACGCCATTACATTCGCGTCCGTGTTGTATCAGATATACAAACTCTCGCCTTTGGCTCGAGTTTGTATATCTGATACAACACGGCCGCTCATGTTGTAAACATTACATATATACCAAATATGTATTTGGAATCATATATGAGTAGAGTGCTCGATATACCGAAGTATAGAGCTAATATAGATAAAGATAAAATAAACCTGGTTTACTTCATAAGATTTATTCACTACAAACTTGTTTCGCATGACAAGCAATGCTTGCCACACTCATCAGGTGAATTTAAATGTCGCGCTATGTTGTATATATATATATCATTTTCATCTTAACATATTACAGAGTGTACAAATACACAACTAACATAACACTTGCAGAAAATTGCAGAATTGAACATGCTTAATATATATATATATATATATATATATATATATATATATATATATATATATATATATATATATATATATATATATATATATATATATATATATATATATATATATATATAGGTTAGATGGAAAACACGGAGTCGGAGTTCCGGAGTCGGAGCCCCGGAGTCGGAGTCCCGGAGTCTGACGTCATAAAAATATGGAAAACACGGAGTCATATGGAAAACACGGAGTCTGACGTCATAAAAGTATGGAAAACACGGAGTCATATGGAAAACACGGAAGTCTGACGTCAGAGAAAAATATGGAAAACACGGAGTCATATGGAAAACACGGAGTCTGACGTATTGTCAGCGTGAAATATGGAAAATAGTAATTAAATAATATATAATTTATGCGAATATAAACAAACGGACGAATTTATAATATAACGAATTGGAAATTTTCTGCACTAATTCTGGTATTTCTCTAAAATGTCGTGAAAATATGGATTATTTATTTTTAAATACAATCAAGCAAATAATATTGTTTCTCTTGTCGTGTGACTTGTTCAGTTGTACAATAATTTGAAGTGATTTTAATGCGGATTTTGTTCACCTCGCATGGTATGTTGATAAAAATATAGTTTATATACTTAATACTGCTAGAATATTTCATAGTCGATTTACATGTAATATTTATAACACACAAAATCTTGACACAAAACAGATATGCTGCTTGGAAACAGCGTGCAATATTCTTATTTACTAATAAATAGATGCAGCCAGCCAACACACAAATCCGTGCAGTATATTAATGGCATTAAAAAAGTTTTCAGGTGTCCAAAAAAATACCTGCACTATAGTGGTAAGTCCATACCAAGTTAATATCTCTAACATATAAGTTTTAGGTTTTTATATATCAAGCCATTGATATTTGATTGATCAAGATAGGTATTTATAACTGACCATTTGTTCCAGGCTTAATTGCATGATACCATTGTAAAATCGTCTGGCGTTAGGCAGAGTAAAATATAAAGTAGGGTACATCTGGGCACATATATTGCCACTTATAATTAAAAGGTTAATATAGAAATGTTGTATTTCATAAAGTATTACAATGCTTTTGAAAGGGATAATTTTAAGTGAAACCCACCTGTTGTGGACTTAAAAGTAAAATTGTGAACTGATGATGCAGAACCACTGGTAGCTAGGGATTGTAGGGCACTAAATTTACTGTTTTCGTAGATTTTTGTCCAGGCAATTAAGTTATAAAGAACAGAATAATAGTGTTGCCACATTCATGTAGTTATAGGCAAATGGTTGATTTGTCAAATATCAATTATGGATTGTTTCATTATAAATACTGGAATGCTCATACTGGATGGTTGTACAATAAGCAAAATTTGCCTTAGGGCCTGTTTATATGGAAGCCGGGCTGGCCCACTTAGCAAGACAGCCCGGTAAGCGGGATGAATTTCTCTCGTGTTTATATGAGAAAATTTCATCCCGCTTGCTGGGACAATTTTGTTACATTGTATTGTTTTGACAGTTGTTAAAAATAGCTTGCGGCGGTATCTTTGAACTTTCATCCCGGCAACCAGCCTAGCCTGCTTGTGAGTGTTTATATGGAGAAATTTCCATCCCGGTAAGCGAGATCTCGCCTCTTTCAAGCATGTCCATATAAACGCACAATAATTTTTACTATAAAAATAACTACACAGCGAGATCTTGCTTACCGGGCTGTCTCGCTTAGCGGGCCAGCCCGGTTTCCATATAAACAGGCCCTTAGTAAATTTAGTAAGCCAGTATCTAGGCTGGCTTGCATTACATATAAAACATCCCCTATGATCCTACAATAGTTGGAAAAAATTAAGAAGTAAAACAAATCTAGAATGAAATATATTTCCCTTCAATATATGCAATTTGTAGTTAGTTGTATATATAGGCACAAAAATGGCTGAAATAGTTTAAAATTCAATACAATGTCATTGTGTTGACATGAAAATATTCTGTTTTTCTAGCCGTAGGTGTTAATTTAAACCATGAGATGCTCAATCGTATGAACTATGAATGCAGATTTGCAGTGGTGTAGTGGCATAGACTTGTATGTCACTATGAATCTATGTAAGATATATTGAGCATTAATTGCATGGTTTAAATTAACACCTATGGCTACAAAAACAGTTGGTATAGAATATTTTCATGTCAACACAATGACATTTTATTGAATTTTAAACTATTTCAGCCATTTTTGTGCCTATATATCCAACTATAACTACAAATTGTATATGTTGAAGGAAAATTTACTTCTTAATTTTTTCCAACTATAGTAGGATTATAGGGGATGTTTATATGTAATGCAAGCCAGCCTAGATACTGGCTTACTTTACTAAGGCAAATTTTGCTTATTGTACAACCATCCAGTATGAGCATTCCAGTGTTTATAATGAAACAATCCATAATAGCTAGATATTTGACAAATCAACCATTTGCCTATAGAACTATACATGAATGTGGCAACACTATTATTCTGTTCTTTATAACTTAATTGCTTGGACAAAAATCTATGAAAACAGTAAATTTAGTGCGCCACAATCCCTAGCAGTATTCCTAGCAAATCCCTAGCAATATCCCATAGCCCAGTGGTTCTGCATCATCAGTTCACAATTTTATTTTAAGTCCACATTTATTATTTACTGTCGAAGGCTCTGGAATCCAGGGTAACAACAGGTGGGTTTCACTTAAAATTATCCCTTTCAAAAGCATTGTCAGTAATACTTCATGAAATACAAAATTTCTATATTTATTTTATGTGGCCTAAATAACAACGCTGTTTCCAAGCAGCATATCTGTTTAGTGTCAAGATTTTGTGTGTTATAAATATTACATGTAAATCGACTATGAAATATTCTAGCGGTATTAATTAAGTATATAAACTATAT